GGCCAGGAGACAAAGTTGGAGCCAAGTGTGCAAAGTATTTGAAGCACATCCACAATGATTTGGTGTGCCGCAGACTGGGACACATCCAATTTGTCAGACATCTCTCTAAAGCTGTTTTGGTTCGCCATGGACCACAGAAGCATCAGCACCTTCTTTGTCACAGGAACTGGTGGCAGGCCTTGATGGTGTTCCCTGCCGACTCCATTCTCCTGCAGCTTCATTGTCAGGTATTCAAACTGTGGCCTGGTGACCCTAAAATGGCGAGCAAAGGTGTGCTCATCCATGTGCAGCAAGACCTCCCACTCTGTTCCAGTCTTCAGGATAAGCCTCTTCGTTCTCTGCAGTAGGGGATGACAGTACATCCTAAGAAGAAGAAGAAACCAGTTTTTTATTGTGCCTTTCAAGATAAAAACCACAAAGCACTTCACAGTAAGAAGAGAAAATAATAGTTTTAACTTCAATTAAATTGTCACGAGCATGTCCTATTTGTCGGTTCCTTTAAAACCTGGTTCCGTTAGAACTTAATAAGACTGCGCTGCTTTCTCAGGGTTCGTGGGGCGTCGGTGAGTTTTATTGTACTAGACCCTGGTTTGGACTCCCTAAATTAGAATCAGTTTCCTATTTTAAGGAGAAATGATATGCCATACTTCTTTCTTTGTGAGAGCACACTTCCTTTTAGATACTCCCGTTATCTAGTGGTTTTAGATACTAGGGCGAAGTCCAGCGGGTGGCCATCCGTCGCTGACAAATCTTTGGGTTATTAGGATTAATTGCGTCCCTGTCAGCTTTTGTGGGCGGTGGTAACTAGAAAATTATTCTTGTTAGTTGATCAGGCTAACATAGATTTATCAATTTATCTAATTAATCCAACCCACGCTGGCGGAGACTTTTTCACACTTGCAAACAGAGCCTATTTTAACCTACTAATGTTTTGGCTTATCATCCTTAAGATATCTCGTTACTCACGGGAGAGGAGAAGACTATCTTCTTTACTTAAGGTTTCTTTTTATTAATCTGTCACAAACCGTAAAGCAAATCCTGATAATTCAGGAACCTGTAATTAATGTGCTTACCTCTTCTTAGGATAGGTCGAGGCTCCCACTTTAACCTTTAAAAAGGACCTGGAAGAATCAGGGATGTGGATTCTTTTTCAAAAAGTTTATTTTACAAGATTAAAAAATACAAAAAATGGGTAGATATAAGACTGATCACTACCCCCACGGAGTAATTAATCCTAATAATTAACTAAGAATAATGAGTTGGCTTACACCAACTCTAAATCTTCTTCTCTTCAGGCTAATGCCCTCTAACACACGCTCACTGACTGCTCCTGCTACTTCCTCTCCCCAAAAACTGACCTGTCATCCTCCGTCCAGAGGAGGAATTTTAACATCTCCAGTAGAGGAATGTAACCTACAACGTGGTTAGACCTTACTCCACAACATTACATTTTAGAACCACAGAATAAACTGGTTGTGATACGGAAGAACAAGGAGCCATAAACTTTAGCTTATTTGTTTTAAGAGGGGGAAAACATTGTTTTAAGCTTTTTGGCAACATTTTTTCCTGAGAAAATGAATGACGGTTCCACCAGTGACTATTCTGTGTGCACCTCTTTGAAAAGGGCTAAAACGGCGCTAAGACCTTTGACCTCATGTACCTTGAACTCAAAGTCTTCTGCTCTGCATTTCAGACAGTAGTTTGTGTTCAACAGCCACCTCTCCACACACGTTTGGCATCCCAGTAGAGACTGACAGCATGTGGAAAACATCGGCTTGGACATGAGACATAAACAGTATTTGTGGGCAATTTCTGTTATTCTTAAAGAAAAGAGTCGGAGAGAGTTTTTCAGTCGAGAACAGCGTGGTCTTTTATTTGTCTTCTCACATCTCAGGACAGCCGAAAGACCCCCACAAAAGAGTGGTTCCCTCTTTTATAGCTCTCAGCCTTTAAACATTCACTAGTCAACCGGCGAGAACCAGACCATATTTGCTAGCACATCTCTCTGTGGAAACTGTGGGTGGAGACTTCTGTCTGGGACACAGCAACACTTTGGAATCACATCAAGTATTTAGCAAGTCAGATAAGCTTTAAGCAATTTTACTGGAAGCAAGCAGAGGCCAAAACAGGAAATTCCTTCGGAGCTGATGTTGGAACAACACACGAACTCTAGCCAGAAAACACTTTCAACCTAAGAACTCAGCTTTAACTCAATACATTTTGTAGATGACCTCTTGACATTTTTGGCGCCAACAGATTGAATAAACAAAAGCATTATTAGATGCAGTGAAAACATTAAAAATGACTGAATATGCAATACAGTTACTATTTGTGTTATGCCCACTTTTGCAAACATGACAGCAGAAGGCATCCATACAGCAGAAGGCATCCATAACAAGGTGCAGTTGCTCATCTTGTCGTGCTGTTGTGCTTTTAACTTTTGCAAGGTCAGACAGCAGGTTTATTGCTTCGGTGACATTTTGGAGGGTCTCAGTAGCTTGCTTAAGCTGATCAATTTTTCCAATAACCTCTTGAAGGATCCCAGTTTCTTCAGACCTTCACCTGTAAAGGTTGAGTTAATATTAAGTGAGTCGTTTAGTGTCGTAAACCACTGATGTATTGTTTATTTGTACAACTTGTGTTAAATTTTAGTTCAGATACTTTTTAACAACAACCATGAAACAATTCAGAATACAATTTCATTTTGAATATTACTGACGTAAATTAGAGGTGCCAAAGTGAAGGCACTTTGGATTGGCTGATTGGCTTTACCTGGCGGTAAGGCATTTCCTGTTTCCTGTTTTCAGTGTTGCACTACGTGTAGCTGTTTGGTGTTTGGGGCTCGCTAAAACTGATTTAGTTTCTCTGTACTAGGATATCTATGAGTTATTGTAGCACATAAGCACGCTAAAACACACATTTTCTGTTGTTCCACCTAGCTTTTAGGGAACCATTTGAGTTCGCACGCAGTTTATTTGGTGTTGAACAGTTTGCTCGTCCAGTTAGCTTAGCCTCAGCACGGCTATGGCTTCTTCTGTCTCTGCTTCTCCATCTCCTATCTCTTACTCTCGGTGTCAGGTGTTTAGTTACTCCTCTGCCTCCTTTAGCGATAATGATACGTGTAATAAATGCCTTAGTTCATCATGTTAATTCCTCTTTACGTGTGGCATTAGATGATGTAGCCCCTTTAAAAAGAAGGTAATTAGAGACAGGAAGTTGGCTCCTTGATTTAATTCTCATCTACGAGCCTTAAAACAAAACTCTAGGAAATTGGAGAGAACATGGCGCTCTACGCACCATGAGGAGGCCTACCTATCCTGGAAAAATAGTCTTGTGCTTTATAAAAATAAGCTTCAACAAACTAGAACTGCTTATTTCTCAGCACTAATTGAGGAGAATAAGCATAATTCTAAATTTCTTTTCAGTACAGTTGCTAAACTTACACAGAATCATAGCTCTGAGCCATCTATTCCTAGCCTAGTGAACTAGACCAAATTCTTGCTTTGCAAAGTATGTATTCACATATATAGTCAGATAATAAATTCACATAAATAGTCTGGCTTGCCAGGCTAGTTAACCCTCTCAGGCTCAAAATAAGTTTTGATAGAAGGACGAACAACTAAGTCCTTCAGGGAAAATTCTGAGTTAAAAAATGCTCATGAAGTACGTATGTGGAGTAACCAGGTAGGTAGGTTTTTACATTGCTAATCTGCAACGCCTGCCTCCAGAGGGTTAAACATGCCTTAGTCTAGTAGTAATAGTCTAGTCTAGTAATAGTCTGGCTTGCCAGGCTACACATCAGCACCTTCACTAAATGTTCTGTTTGCCTCTCACAGCTAGCCTGGCAAGCCAGACTAAATAAGAATTTGGTCTAGTTCACTAGGCTATCTCACAGCAGCTTCAACTAAAGACAAAAGTATCAACGACATCAGAAGTTTCTCTCACATTCTGTACAGAAAGCATTTATCTGCTGCTGAAGATCTTTTTCAGTTTGTTTAAAGAAAGAAAACAGAAAGTAATCTTTTACTGGTCTCCTCTCTGTCAGGGCTTCTGAAGAAACCGCTGATTTAATACTGAACACAGGTCTGTGTGTGAGTGAATACATGTTCATCCAGTCCAGCAGGTGGCGCTAGTGATGCTGGTCACCAACCACCGGAAAAAGCAGAAACCAGAAGCTGCTAGCAGAGCTAGCTTGTTGTTGTTCCTTTGGCCTCTCTGAGAAACGCGCTCGTTTTGCTGCTTTCATCAGATTGAAGAGGTTCCCTCTATCAGACTCGCTCATCTGAGTTGGTCATGATGCAGGATCGCTGCTCGCTCTCTCATCCATCCTGCTCACACTCTCCGACGGAAAAGCCCCGAATCTGAATGTGACTCTGGAGGAAAAAGCGGTTAGCTCTAGTCCGTGAACTCTGGTGAGCAAAGGTCCTCTTTTCCAGACTGGATCTGTCCTCAGCTGATCAGAACCAAAGCGTTGGATCTTTAATCTCCTGCGTTGTTCTGAAGCAGCATCTTAATCAGCTCTCCTGCTTTGTTTCTATTGCAGCTGTTAGCTAAACACGGCTAAAGAAAACCTGCTACCACTTCAGGATCATCCATCAGCATGGACACAGGTACTGGTGTGTGTGTGTGTGTGTGCGTGCGTGCGTGCGTGCGTGTGTGTGTGTTCTGGATAGCATGGACCCAGGTACCAGTGGCAGATCAAGGATTTTTCTGAGGGTGGGGCCATCAAGGGGCCACGTACAGTCCAACATACTTGCGTAATATTCCCAGTGTTGTATGGTAGATACAGTTTACCAGCCACACCATGTTGAAAAACATTAATGCAATTGTACGTCAGTTTTTACTGTACATACACAAAATACAACCACACACAGCATTTGAGAAATTTTAGCATTCAATTTATTTTGCAAAGCCACAAATTTCAGGTATGAGCGTCAGAAATCTGATCAAATCAGCTGTAAAATAATGAAAACAACAGTAAAAATGATGCTGCTTTGTAGAGTCCACATCCAGAAGACTGGAGCCGTGTTTCACTGACAGGCTGTCAGACTAACGCCCTGATGAGCTCAGCTGGGACAAACTGGTCTGATGTTTAGGTAAGTGAAGATCTGCTTCTCCAAGGCCTTGAGATGCTAGTAAAAATAATGTAGCCAGTGCTAATGTTACTTTTCTTCTCCTCTGAGGAACACAGAACGCTCAGATGTTGGAGCTTCACGTCACCTACTGAGGAGCACCAGTAAAGAGACGGCGTCTGGACCAGACCAAAGTGAGTGATGACACTTTAGCCCTACACCTCAGCCTCTAGGAGCCACCCTCATCATCATTAACTCATTCACTGCCATTGGCGACAAAAGTTGTCATTTTTAAAGGAACCCAGGTTATAAAACTCTGTGCTTCTTAAAAGATAAATGTTAGTATCAGTTATATTAAAATGGTGTAAAAAACCTTCTTGATGTCTTAATCTTTATAAAATTAGTAAAAATAGTTAAACTCGTAGGTCGCCATTAGGGATGTAAGAAAATATCGACATGGCAATATATCGTGATATTTTTTCCTGCGATTATTACATCGATATTCAAAAGCCGTGTATCTAATTCTTGAAAGAATTTACATGCAAACATTTGTGTATTTTCTTTTCGTTTTGTGCAATTCAATCGCCACCCGCTAGTTGGCAGCAGTGTGCAACGGGTTTTGTTTCCACCACTGAAATGTAAATCCCTCCATCATGGTTCAGATACCTCATGTTAAACATGTTACGTATCAGTTTGGACTGTTTATTGAACGTTCTTACAATAAATTCAGTAAAAAAAATTGCTTGTAACGTCTGACTGAATGTATCGCAATATATCGTGATATATCGTATCGCCTTCCCTGTATCGTGATATGTATCGTATCGCCAGAATTTCTAAAATACACATCCCTGGTCGCCATTGTTGTTAGCGTCGCACTGCACTCTGGGTAGTGACGTCATATGGTTGTACCTCGGTTGCACCGGCGGCTTTGGGACCCTGTAGTGACTGTTGAGCGACATCGACATGTCATCTGTTCAGCCTTTTCACTTTGAACCAGAGCGAAACATTAATGATGACATCACTGACCATGTTTCACAAAACGAGCATCAACATGAAGAGCAAGAAGGGCGGGATGAAGCGAGAGCAGGACAGAACCGGTGGAGCGTGTACGGCAAATGCGTCTCCATGGTAACCGAGAGGGAGAGAGCTCACATTTGTGTCAGCAGAAGTTATCTGTAAGCTATCGTGTGATCAGATTTATTCAATGATGAATGATTTAGGAGAATTTTAGCATCCAGAGCTGTCGTGTGCTTCATAGATGATTAGGATGTTCAGTGAAACCACTTTAATCATTGTTGCAGATATTCTATATGTGGACAACACTGTGTTGCTACACTTACTGCTTGTTTTACTGACGGGAGAGGTGAACGTTCAGCTTCATCCGTGACGAGTGGCGTGTCCGATGGTTGGCTGAGCGTGACAGAAGCGGCAGCTGCAGGAGCGGGTTGTCGGCTCAGGACAGCGTCCAGCGTCTCTCGTCCCTCCGAGGGCGTTTAGGCTCCTTGTGTGGGAAAATGGTCGCTAAAGCATTTAGTTTCCACCTTCTCTTATACCCAGCCGCTCTGGTGAGCTCTTTAAGTAGTCGTGGTCGACTATAAGCCTCAAACGCATCAGGAGAAAAATGTTGGGAACACAGCCGCGGCTCTTTGGGAAGTTGTGTCCGTCCACAGGCATCTTCCCACTGCTTTCTCCTCTTGTTGCCAGTGGGAAAGCTGTAAACTCACATCACTCCCCTTGTTGCCCTCTGACTGGAAATTACATCCAAAAGCAGCACAATGCAGCATTTTACTTAATAATTAATACGGTGAGAGCGTCAACAAACACCAGCGTCAATAGCTGTTCTTCCAAGAGCAACCAATATACGTCATCACCCCCAGAGAGCAAACATGGCGTCCTACGTATGTCAACAAATGTACTAAATATTACAGATTTATAAATAAACAGTAATATTTTGTGTGTTTCTAACAACATACAGGGAGTGCAGAATTATTAGGCAAGTTGTATTTTTGAGGAATAATTTTATTATTGAACAACAACCATGTTCTCAATGAACCCAAAAACCTCATTAATATCAAAGCTGAATATTTTTGGAAGTAGCTTGTAGTTTGTTTGTAGTTTTAGCTTTTTTAGGGGGATATCTGTGTGTGCAGGTGACTATTACTGTGCATAATTATTAGGCAACTTAACAAAAAACAAATATATATCCATTTCAATTATTTATTTTTACCAGTGAAACCAATATAACATCTCCACATTCCCAAATATACATTTCTGACATTCAAAAACAAAACAAAAACAAATCAGCGACCAGTATAGCCACCTTTCTTTGCAAGGACTCTCAAAAGCCTGCCATCCATGGATTCTGTCAGTGTTTTGATCTGTTCACCATCAACATTGCGTGCAGCAGCAACCACAGCCTCCCAGACACGGTTCAGAGAGGTGTACCGTTCTCCCTCCTTGTAAATCTCACATTTGATGATGGACCACAGGTTCTCAGTGGGGTTCAGATCAGGTGAACAAGGAGGCCATGTCATTAGTTTTTCTTCTTTTATACCCTTTCTTGCCAGCCACGCTGTGGAGTACTTGGATGTGTGTGATGGAGCATTGTCCTGCATGAACATCATGTTTTTCTTGAAGGACGCAGACTTCTTCCTGTACCACTGCTTGAAGAAGGTGTCTTCCAGAAACTGGCAGTAGGACTGGGAGTTGAGCTTGACTTCATCCTCAACCCGAAAAGGCCCCACAAGCTCATCTTTGATGATACCAGCCCAAACCAGTACTCCACCTCCACCTTGCTGGCGTCTGAGTCGGACTGGAGCTCTCTGCCCTTTACCAATCCAGCCACGGGCCCATCCATCTGGCCCATCAAGACTCACTCTCATTTCATCAGTCCATAAAACCTTAGAAACATCAGTCTTGAGATATTTCTTGGCCCAGTCTTGACGTTTCAGCTTGTGTGTCTTGTTCAGTGGTGGTCGTCTTTCAGCCTTTCTTACCTTGGCCATGTCTCTGAGTATTGCACACCTTGTGCTTTTGGGCACTCCAGTGATGTTGCAACTCTGAAATATGGCCAAACTGGTGGCAAGTGGCATCTTGGCAGCTGCACGCTTGACTTTTCTCAGTTCATGGGCAGTTATTTTGCTCCTTGGTTTGTCCACACGCTTCTTGCGACCCTGTTGACTATTTTGAATGAAACGCTTGATTGTTCGATGATTACGCTTCAGAAGCTTTGCCATTTTAAGACTGCTGCATCCCTCTGCAAGATATCTCACTATTTTTGACTTTTCTGAGCCTGTCAAGTCCTTTTGACCCATTTTGCCAAAGGAAGTTGTCTAATAATTATGCACACCTGATATAGGGTGTTGATGTCATTAGACCACACCCCTTCTCATTACAGAGATGCACATCACCTAATATGCTTAATTGGTAGTAGGCTTTCGAGCCTATACAGCTTGGAGTAAGACAACATGCATGAAGAGGACGATGTGGACAAAATACTCATTTGCCTAATAATTCTGCACTCCCTGTAGTTTGGTACAACAGAAAACTTGTGGCTTATTAGGGAACACACGTCCTCATAGAGAGTGTTTGTAACGCCCAGGCCCAATGCCCCCTGACGCTACTGGTTACTGACGTGGACAAAGTTTTACATGCGTTTAAAGAACTTGCAGCTTGAATGTGCTGTTAACATGTTTATTGCTTTGTAAGTGTCCATGATTCAGTTACACAGGCACAATTTTATTTCTGTATGTTTACCTGCCCCTGATTGTCCATGCGTTTGTGATCACTCAGCCACCCAGTCCTCGCCACGCAGTAGAAACTGCTTGTGCCCAGTGTCAGCAACACCTAGCGCTCCCAGATTAAATAAGGAGGAGTGGCTACCACTCAGGCCCTGGGCCCGTCACTTGGCTTAGGAAAAATACAAATCAGAAAATACACAAATGGCTCCTACAGCCAGAGTTCCTTTTAAATCCAAATTTTTTTTGGTTGTTTTGATGTCGACATCATCCTAGCGTGCAACGTTCTGTGACGCTTAAAAAAACAGTAAAAACGCTGAAAAACACTGGCAGCGAAGGGCATTACCGGTCAGGAAACGGCTGGCAGTGAATGAGTTGAGAACACCACATCTCCTGAAAAGAAGAGATCACTGACCCCGTATATCAAATGGATTTGTGATAATCGATTCTAATTCTTGAGAATTGGAATCGAAGCAAGTCTTGAAATTTGAATTGATGGAATAGAATAGACTTTATTTATTTCACAGTGGGGAAATGTGCTTGTGACAGCTGCACCAACACTTAAAAGAATAATTAGAAGAATAAATAATAACAAAGGTACATATATGTACTAGTGCTGTATGATTATGACAAACATAATAGTCACGGTTATTTTGATCAATATTGTAATCACGGTCATTCATCCTATCTGGTAAAATGTGTTTTTATTGCACCAATTGCAAACAATGTTGCAACATTTTTCTGTGAAAACTGAAACTTCAGAATAGATTATAAATAATGCTAAACCACTTAAAAACTCCATACTTTAATATGTGAGTTTCTAGCTAATTATGTTATTGCAGAGAGCAATCTCAAAGTGCAACAGAAAGAGTTACAGCTTATACAGAAAAGACCTGCGTAGTGTTCGTGGCCTCTTGCGTAGGGTTCGTGGGTTAGTGGCCTCCTATAGGGTTCGTGGGTTTGTGGCTTCCTGCGTAAGGTTCATGGCATCCTACGTAGGGATGCACCGATACCTCTTTTTTCCGAACCGATACGATACCGATACTTGGATCTGGGTACTCGCCGATGCCAATTACCGATACCAATACTTCCACCACACAAAAAATTGCGATGATTTGGATTACAGATTTTATTTTCTTCTCTGCTTTCAACAGGAAAAGACTGTGAGGTAGATAAAAAGTAAAATATATGAATGGAAATCATCACAAAACTAAAACATTAGGTAAACAGAAATGACAAGTTACAGTGAAGCCATTTTCAAGCAACTGCATTGGTATTGGTTCCTGGTATCGGTTAACTTTTACCGATACCGGTATTGGTATTGGTATCGGCAACAATACCAGTATCGGTATCGGTGCATCCCTAGTCTTGCGTAGTGTTCGTGGTGTCCTGCGTAGGGTTCATGGCCTCCTGCTACTTGTTGCTGATTTGTTTGTGGAGCTGGTGGTGAGAGGCAC